AATGTCAAACTGACCATTCAATTCATTAAGGTGTTATTGATTCAAATTCATTAGAAAAATTGCATTTGAATTAGCTGTGATAAAATAATATATGATCAACCTAATTATGTACTAAATATCTAAAAACAACAATAAAAATAAAACATCTAGAAGTACCCACATCATACATACCCTTATTTTATTATTTGGATTGGACCAACCAACAGGTTTTTGAAATCCTCAGTGAATTTTTTGAGAGGGAGAGCTTTTGGAAAGAGAAGAGGGGTCCATCAAGAAACAAACGGCCCAGCCTGGACTTCCTAAGATGATTAACTCCCAACTCAAGAATTGCCAAAAATAATGAGCCATATGACCAACGGAGATTGAGTCTAACGAAAGGGATTAGTTTCCCACAACGTAATGAATCAAGGTTTGAATCCCTGTTCGGAGGAGTGTTCACATTTAGCGTCCGACAGTGCTTCTAATAGGATAGTCTTCAATAGAAGGATACCTATGCTTTAGCAAAAAAAAAAAAAAAAAAAGCCATATGACATTAAACAATGAGAACTCTGGTGTTTTTTTATGCCAGAAATAAGAAGTCTGGCGTTGATGAATTTAAAAAAAAAAACATGTTTTTATTTGAGGGCAAATATACACTATGATTAGGTGTAATTTTGATTTTGATTTCCTACACGTTCAAGTTATCACAGTCACTGCATTTTTTTAAATTATCTCTATTATCATAACGTTTTCGTAGTAAGCATTTTCTACGTAAGGTTGGAATATTTGTAATTATTAGTCATTAAACGCGGGCACGCCTGAATATTATATCTTATTTAGACTATTCAAATAAATTTTATTAATTTTCGTATTTGAATAATATTTAACAGAAAATTTCTGACCATCTAAATTCTATCCGCATATGGGCTCAACTATATTTTTAATTTGAAAAATATACTATTGATAAATAAATGTATACATTTTCTTTTAGTTTAGAACTGCATGCATAAAATTAATTCATTTGTCAAGTTCTTATTCACAAGAAACAAAACAAGATCCAGGAAATTAATTTTACTTCCGTTTTGTCCACATAGCAATCATTTTCATTAGCCAGTACTGCACATGGATATGAAGAGAGCAACCTTTGGATTCATATTGACCATGAAAGTTGACGAAATACTACCTCCCATTCTTAATATAAGACCTTGTTTGATTTTAATTTTGGTCCCAAATATAAGACCTCAATCCACTTTATTTCTAATATTTATGCTTTTTTTTTCAAAGTAGCCTCTCTAACAATGGTAATTCTAACCAATATACTTGATTAGTAAGGATATTCTAGGAAAGACAACACATATTTATTACAAATAACTAACTTAACTTCTTTCTTTGATCTTTTCAAATTAGTCAACTAGCTTTTATAATTAGGACCGATTGTAGTATCTAATTTCATATATATGTTACAGAATACTACATCCGAACCTTAATATAAGAGCTAGTTGACTAATTTGAGTAAGTTAATTAAATTAGTTAAGTTGGTTATTCGTAGTAAATATGTATCGTCTTTCCTAATATATTCTTACTAATCAAGTCTATTAGCTAGAACTACCATTATTAGAAGGACTATTTTAAGAAAAAAAATAGATAAATATGAGAAAAATAAATTGAGGTCTTATATTTAGGACTGGAGGTAGTATTATGTTAAGGATTAGAGGTAGTATATACTATATCCTATTCTTAATATAAGAGCTATTTTGACTTATAAGTTGGTCCTAAATATAAGTTTCTAATCTATTTTGTCTCTCACATTTATCTTTTGTTTTCAAAGTAGTCCTTGCAATAATTGCACATGTTAAAAGTTCTATCAAATGGTAATCCTAATTAATACACATAATTAGTAAGGATATTTTAAGGAAGACAACAAATATTATTACAAATAACTAATTTAAGAAACTTTTTCATATATTTAAATTAGTTAACTAATTCTTGTATTAAATACAGAATGTAGTACTTTCGAAACAAAAATTCAAACCTACCATTCTTTAGCAGTCAGCAAACGAAGTAATAACAAAAACCTAACATTCAAACACTGACCAGCTGGTTCATATACTCTAATTGACAGCTAGCTGACGATCAAATCTTAATCTAATAGCTTCACCACAAATTTCACAAACTCGTCATTCTTCGACGATCCATCGCAAGATCCAGAAACTCTCCAGATCTTCCTCTTAATTACCCAGCAAGTCTGCATCAGGTACGAACTGTTCTTTATCATATGTCTCAGATTTGCATGCTGAGCTTTTTTTGGTTTTCGTCGTACGAATGAGAACGATTTCATGTAAGAATAGTTCACCATGGCTTGCAAGGCGTAAGATTTGATTCGTGAACGTACGTAATGGAAAATTAATGATATCCACAGAAGGAAAATAAACCCTAAGCTTTACATGCAAGAACTGGATGTAATAAATCTGCAGAATACTTTGAACCATCGAGTCATTAGTTAGATGATAAGTGGTTTCATAAACCTGGTAACACAAGAAACAGACCATAACATGAAATTTGTCACTGGAAACATATATATAGGATAGGTCGAAAACCTAGCTAGTTTGGCTTCATCAGAATAAAACAGATGGTAGAAGAAGGCAAAATATATGAATCCATGGGGAATATCTGAGTTATGTATAGGTTTAACAACAGTGACGAAGCCCTCACAATGATCAATTAATGAGAGAAACATCGGACCCTGCTGTTCCCCCCCCCCCCCCAATATTAATCAACCTTAACAGATCTGCCGTGAAAATCTCGTCCTCATTATTCTCTGCTGATACTTGGTCTCTGGCATACATGTATGTCTAAATTATCAGCTCTAGCAGCTTGCACAGATGAACTCCACGATCCATTCTAAAAACCTTTAAGAATAACAGCAACAAAACTTTTAACATTTGATTTAAACGTGTAAAATTCAAGTCAAAATAAAAAATAAGGAGAATGGGAAGGCATGCAATTCATACTACTGCAAGGCCTTGTTTGGAAAGGATAACACGAAGCTTAGTAAAGTATTTATTGAGTTAAGGTGTAAATTTGTTCCGAAGGTTTTTTTCACTCAGAAACGTTGGGTATTTGAATTTTTTTTTTTAGAAAATTTGTCTGAAAGTTTAAAATCATAATAATATTAATTATCCAATAGCATTAAAATGTTAACGATTTAACGTCACTATTTTAATGGTCAACGTTGGTTTTTTGATAGCAAAGGGTAATATTACTATGATTTTAAACTTTTATGTAAATTGCCTCTAAAAACTTCTGGATACTCAGAGCTCCTAAAAAAAACTTTCAAGACAGATCTGCACCTTGACATAATATTTATATAACAAAACCGTCTATAGTGCTTTGGACATAATTAACCTTTCATTAAATTATAGATTTCTAAGGTATTAATTATTTTTACTTGTGATGAATAATCCTGTCTCATAAAATTTTATTGGAGTTTGTATAAAAGTTTTATTCTTTTAGGGATTGCTAAACTATAATGATTAACATTTTTTTTAAAGAAATATCTGATTCCACTTGGCTTAATTTACGAACAACCCTAAGAAGTTGGAACGATATATAATGAGCGAGATGGACAGAAAGACTAGGAGTTAGTGTGGAAATGAGAAAAAATGTTGATAAATATTGGAGAAATGGCACGTAAGTCCCAGAAGATAATATTAGGTTTCAAAAAAATTTTCAAAAATAAATTGTAAATATCTTTTCAGAACATTGTACTCCTTCAGTCCTAAATATAAGACCATTTTGTAGTGTAATTTACACTACAAAAGGGTCTTATATTTAGGACCGGAGAAGTAATATTATTTTGAAATCTTGCTATTATTAAATTGAATGTTTTAGAACTAATTATCATAATGAATATACAGCATTTTGATGTTATGAATAATTTGTATAAGCTCATTATTACTACTGTTTTGGCTAAATACAAATTTATTTCATCAAATTTAATACAACAAAATCTTACTGCTAAAGATAATTGTTGATAATTGCGTGCAACTTCTCCTATTGTATATTCTCTCTTTTTCAAATTACTGTGATTTGACAGAAATATTTGCCTTCAACTATTTCTTCATTGTTATTATCATGTAGTAATTTGATCTGGGTTGTTATTCCCTAAATTCTAATAGTCTATGTTAATGACCTAACAATGAGTTGTGATAATTTTGATGTAAAAAAAAAAAAAGCAGTGGTTAATGAATTTTTTGCAAGATTTAAGATGCTCCTTAAGAATGAAAGATAAAACATGAACAAAATTTGAAGTAACAACCAAATCGGAAAAAGAAAACATGGATTAGGAAAACAAAATTTCAACCTATTATTAGATCAGAAGACAAAAACATGGATGTTGAGATTATGGACCATTGGATAGATCCGAAAACAACGGGAAAAATAGGAGTTTAAGTAAATTAGTGTCGCTAAGTATCCTTTTTTAAATGTCTATGAGCCATTTTCAGAGCCTTTTAGGCCTCGTGCCTTTGCAGCGTCGAAGAACTAACATATAAATCTTAGTTTATTGGTATCCTTAAGTCAATTCTGATACTTATTTTAATTTAGTTTTTAATTTTTTAACCTTTTCGAGATATACCTCACATAAACCGCTGCATATTACGTGCACCGCGCAGCATGAAAAATAAACACTGTAAAAACTTATAATATGGTAACTTGCGATAAATCACAGGCTTGGTGAAGATCTCATCTCGATACTGACGTACGGATATAGAGAGATTCATGATGATTATGATTGTTTAATTAACAAGTTTTGTCCTAAAAATAATTGCAAAAACGGACCTAATGTTAATTCTTAAGTGGCATTTCTGCAGGGAGGAGAAATTCTCGATAGTGCCATGTTCCCCAAATTTTGATTTGAATGACAGCAACGTCAAACCTAACGTTCAAATGCTACAAGTAGTTGACCGTTAGTGCTAGAACCAGAAGACTATGGAAGCATCATTGGCTTAAACACCAGATCCACAAACTCGTTCGGCCATGATCTCGCAAGATCCAAGCAGCCCTGCAAATCAGCTACAAGGTACGGGTTCTTTGATCTTCAAAGATTATTCCAACTTGTCGAGGGTTTTGCATTCCGATCTCTTCGTTTCGTCTAAATCATTACATTGTAACATAAAAATACAGTTCTGTTCATTTAGAAACATGGAAGAACATATATGCTCTGAAAGACGTGAAATAATTTAAAATTCAACTCACAGAAGGTACACTTTATGCTTCACAATAGTCATGAATGTAGTTGGTATCTATGAACTGGATGTGATAAATAGGAAGACGACGACTTAAGACTATGATACACCATATCACTGTTCTCTTCTAATAATGGCTGCTCATGGGTCAAATTTGCTGAACCAGAAAAGCAGCCACTATTCAGAGAACATCACAGCAAAAACACACAGCACATAGACGACCAATTCATTAAATGACAAATCGTTTCAAAATCTACAGATCATGACATTAAGTTTGTCCCTGGAAACATAGGAAAGGTCGGCTTCTCTTATCTTCTAAAACTATTCTTGGAGTGGAAGAAGCATCCCAAGAAATAAGGGAAGCACTTGATAACACCCTTTCTTCAGGTTACCTCCATATGTTCCAACCTTTTTCAGCGAATTGGATGATACTGTGTGATCCCTCGCTTGGGAGGCAGCTTCCTCAGAATAAAGAGCACCAGCGAAGAAGGCACTATCTCCACCAACTGCACCAAGAATAAGAAAAGGTGAGGCCATAGGAGAAGATCTTTCAACAAGTAGAAGTCATGCCATGCAGAAACATTTTCCCATTATACCCGAGGCAAAATCCAACTATGATACTTCTACACTAGTAGCCCAATTCCTTTAAGCAAGATTCAGGACAAAACCAAAAGAGAAAAAAAAAAAAAATTATCTGGAAGGCTTGTGCACAGGCACAGGCCTACTGTGGCAAACCGGACTCCTATAGATAATACCACGACTTCAACTAATAATTCCAGCTAGACAGGTTTATCAACAGTACAGCTGCTACACACTGCAGATTATAGTTCTGCTCACTAAAATAAAATCCAACCGAAGAACTAATAAAAATAGTTCACACAAATTTGGTGGATGCTAAATAACAAGACTGGGGATTAGTCAAGACATAATATATGGAGAATAAAAGTCCAGCATTGCAACAATCACCAACAATACGGAGAGGAAAAGCAGCATGCAAAGAACTACAACCAAGCTCACCAGATAATATACGAAGTTAAGAATGGGATGGTCCAAGACATCAAGGTTGGCGGCCTTATCAAATGCATTAAAGCACATCTGCGACATAGCAAAATTATGATATAACTCAATTTGCAGTCAGGCAACCATAAAGCCTATAGGAATTTAAGGAACTCACCATAATACACCTGACAAGAAAACATGAAAAACATATTGTGGTCACATAGCCAACCTGCAATAGAACAGAAAGTTAAGAAGGGAAATTGAATTCTACTAGGGCAATATATTCTTTGTAAGACTGCATACCTCTTGTAGCTTCTTACGCCGACCTTTGGATTCAACAGGGAAGCGTTGCAACATTAGGAAAAGTCTGTCAAAAACAAAGTCAGGAAAGTCATTATGGTCAGACTGTGACAGTACCATAGAAGGGGGGTATGATGCAGGTACATATTTCATTAACATTTAAAACTTGAAAAATGCTTCTTTTATAAGCCCATTTATGTTCTGCAAGTTTGAAAAATGCTTCTTTTATAAGTCCATTTATGTTTTGCAAGTTGTAATTTAATTTTCATACTACTTTAAATATAAAATATGATACTGAACCATCCACTAACAATCAAAAAATACGAAATGTGGAAAAGTGAAAACCATTAAGTCAAAGCTTAGCTTATCAATTCCAAGGAACTCAACATAGGTCAGATCTCTACGTTTCAAGCGATGGAGACATATGGGGACATTGGAATCAGCATGAGAAACCTTCCCCACTCAAGCACAACTTAAGTCCTTATTGAGTGCCCCATACATGAGTTGAACCAAAATGACATGCCTGTCAACCAGTACTTCATAGACTCTTAAAAATATCTTTATGCCATAGAGGGATATGTGAAGTTCACACACTTCTTTGTTGCTTTCCCATTCAATAGTTGGGGGATGAGACATGCACACTCTTCTATATCTCTGCTGAGAAAGCTCCTTTTATGTCTAATCAATCTTTGTAGAAAGAATGGGGAGAGGACTTTGATGGAGTCAAGCCTGAACATTGAGGCAAACTTGATAGTCTATTCCTTGAATTTAAGTCAACATCTCCCATATGTCTCGTTTATGGGTTTTCATTTCTTCTACTATTGCTCTTTTCCACTGTGTTTCTGAGCTTCATGATACGAGATTTTCATCAGGATGTTGACCGTGAGCAAACGTGACTTGATGTAGAAAAGTGGAGAAGTCCCACATTATATAGAGTTAGGCAAGGTTTATAAGTGAAACAATTCATAAACCATAGCTTCAAGGTTTAGGGTTGAGAAGGAGTGTTGAGCCCACTTATATGCATTCTCTTGTTGCTATTGGGCCTAGTCGGATTGTCCCCATTTTCTGGAAGCTTCCTAGGCCCAACAAAATAGCACCAAAGGCCTTGGTTTGTCAAGGTCATGGATGAAGATGATAAAAAAATCAAGTTTGAACAGCATCCATATCGAAAGTTCAATTGTCATGAAAGTGGGCTAATGCCTTCAAAATATGGCCAGATAGGAAGAGAATGTTTGTGGTCACATGGTTAACTCTCACTTGAGGGAGGAATTGTTGTGATATCAAGTGTGAGTGGACTTGACTCGATGGGGAAAGGCGGAAAGTCCCATATTGAATGGAGCTATGCTGAAAAAGAGGCATATAAAAGAAAGTATATAAGTGAAGGGTGTCAAGTTTACTTATATGAATCCTCTTGTTGCTACTAGGTCTGGTTGGATTCTCCCTCTTTTTTGAGATGCTTCTTGAACCTAACAATGATATTTATGAGACATCGTCCAATTTGATGTTGAGTGCGAGATTCGATATTCTTCCCTAAGGATGTAGACCAATTTAATTCCCCATTAGCCCTTCTACAAGATTCGTGGTGTCACTCATGAGAATGAGTGACTATAACCTCACGAGTTTTCCTCTTTAATAGACATAAGGTCATGCATAGTTTTCAATATACGGGTGAATTTGGTCATTCCTAGGGGTCAATTTAGTTTCAGATTCATCATGACTGTTTTCAACGGTACACTAGAAGACCAAATCAGATCAATTCATGCTAATTAAATCACAAGTTGCACTCTCTCGATTACACTTTTAATTATGAGCTTTCATTTAGTGTTCATACAAAATTATAACACTAAAACATCATCAAAGCAATATAGACTAAATACAAAAAAAAAAAAAAAAAAACTAATAGACTAAATCAAAACACACACACACACACACACACGCAACTACAATACCCCACTTCAATTTTTAATTATGAGCTTTCATTTAGTGTCCATACAAAATTATAACACTAAAACATCATCAAAGCAACATAGACTAAATACTCAAAAATACTAATAGACTAAATCAACACACACACATACACACAACTACAATACCCCACTTCAATTTCATGAGTCCAAAAGGCAGAAACGATTTGAGAAACCAACATGGGGCTGTCATACAATGTTTCCTTCTTACAATTCACAGTTCCTAAATTAAGGATTAACTCTGTAATTGGAATAAAATATGGAAACTTAATTACATCACAATTGCAAACTGAAATTAACAGATACCTTCCACCATAGAGAAGAAACCCAAGAGCAGCAAACAAAGAGACCCCTATTACAACATAAATGAATTAGCAACAATTCATGACAGTCATAATCAATAAATAATTTGACCATAACAAATAGTACAAGTTGAGTCTAAAGTAGACAAACCTGCAAAGAACATCTTCGACAGGACAACCAATAAATTGACGGGCTTCCACCATAATATCAGCCACAAAGCGATCTGGCATACATTCAGAAAACAAAACAAATTTAAAATTGTCGAACACAAAGGTACCAGCAACATTAAAACTCATGATATCGATAATTTCCAAGTTTTACACTGTTGCCATTAGACACCAGGACACATTTTCATATCAATTAATTACTCCTAGCATCTTTAAGGCCACAGCCTAATTTTTACTCCCACACAATTTGACCATAGTCACACATCACAACCAAAGCTTAGGCGCCTGACATTTCTTTTTACAAAGATGTGAGGAGATGAAGGGAATAGAGTATTAAATAAGACCCTCCAACTTTCTTCTTAAAGGGACATCATCGACAAACTCATCAACCAGGTATGAAATTGTTGTGCTAAGGCCATTAAAAAACGAGTTACATTTAACACAGTACAACAAACATATCTTTGTACGGTCTCTTCAGATCTTAACATCTTTAAACATAAAACTGTTTACACAGAAGTCCATCAATACTTCAGCAAGCGATCCAGCAAATACCAATTTCAACCTAAACGACCAAGCAAACTAGATGACCCATAGCTGGGACCTCCAAACAAAACTCAGGCAAGAAGTTTCACCTGAACGGCATATACTACAGCATTGATTACATAGAAGCTTGGCCTCAGTCTGTCAGTAGACACAGCACGTGCCTGAAAGATATCAACGTTAACACGGTGAGCAGATCACCAACTTGTAAAATATGCTAGATTGCTAAAATTGAAGAAAAACCAAAAGAGTTAGACAAGATTAATGTTCAACAAATTAAACTGGACTTGCCTGGTAGTATATCTCTGCCCAGAATAGGACCAAGAGTGCATACGTTGTGAAGAAAGCAAGACTTGGCATATCAAGTATGATATGTTGGACAATCTACATACAGGCAATCTAAATATTAGATGCTTGGACAAATACAGCATTATGGCATCACAAGGGGAAGATTGTGTTCCTACCTCTGGCTTCAACTTCTGCACGTCCCGGCGGAATATAAATACAAAACATCGAACTACAAAAGCAGACCGGTATATATTATTGCAGATATTATTCCCACATTTACAGTCGAATTAACATTTAAATCAATAAACACATGGGGAGAATTAAATAATACAAACCCCCGTTCACCAAAAAATTGAGAAAGTGAAAGACTTTCTGCGTGGTCCAACCATATTCCGGTACTCTCAATTGTATACGAACTAGTTGAACCTAAAAACATATGGAGCAAAAAAAATCCAAGTGAATAGGCGTAAAATCTTCATGGCTTCTACAGTTAGACATAATCGCATGTCCCATTCTCTTCAAGCATTCAATGACATACGAAAACCCTAAAAGCCCTTATCCAATAAAGAATTTCAAATCTGCCCAAAAAGCGATTGACGGCGAACGGCAACCCAGAAAGACTCAGCAATGACATTACAAACGTGGAAGCGTTGGGACGGGATTGAAATTACCACAGCAACGACAGCTACGATCCCATAAAGAGCAGCGAGAACGTGGAAGATACGATCCTGCCAGACCGGAGAATCATTGACGTCGTGCCACCAACTGGAGGATTCCGTGAGCTCGATGGCCGCTACAGCCAACCCCACCGCGGAAGACGTCGACACCGGCACGCCGTTGCGACCCATTCAAATTGATTCGATTGTAAGTACGCGCCGGCGAATCTTGTTAGCAAAATCACAAGCGACCTAGATTAATTCGTGAAGACGAAAGAGGAAGGACAGAAGCAGATTATGGACCCTTTTTTATTTCTTTTTTATTTTTACAGTTTCTTCTGTTTTTTTTCCTCGAACCTCAAACGACCGGCACGAATCCAAGAAACGCAATGGGGCGCAACCGGCTAGAGGGGCAATGGACGTCTCTGGAAGATGACCGATGATAGCCGGTCTGCCTGGGGTTTCAAATCCAGGCTTCATCAATCATGGGGCAACGTGTACAAGCGGAATTTTTGTTTTTTAGACCAAAATTATTATTTTGATCATCAATTTAATTGAAGAAAATTTGGTTCAAATTTTTCCCTTGAGAAATATATTGGCCAAAGGACTCCAGTCTTCTTAAGTTGTGTGCAATTATCTTTAAGTACGTATAAAAAAATCTTTAAAAATGACTGAAAATATGTTGCACAAAAAAAAAGTTTTATCATTCAAATTCATATCTTTATCTCTTAAAAATTTTTAAATAAGTACTTCTCAGCGAATTTTTCTTTAATTTAATTCTCGTTGTTGAAAAGTATTGCGTATTAACGATATTGTAATAAACTTATTAAATTTTATTACGTTATATATATACATTTTTTATTGTCATTTAATTAAAACATATGTAGACGAGTTGTTTTTAGATAATTAAATTGAAAAAAAAAACCATTCATGGGATTGGAAAACCTTTTTTAAATTGATAAAAATAAAATTAGGATGAAAATAAGAAGCTATAATGAATGATTAGTAGTTGGACGGTGGATGTTGATTTTAAATATTGTTTTAAAACAATTCATTATCTTTTTAGCTTTTATTGATGTATTTTATTGGATTGGATTGATTGGTTGGAATGAGGGGTAAAAACTGAAAAAGGAGGGAAAGGCGAGATCGGAATGTTTGGTTTTATAGGGACACTTTCAAAGTCATTATTATTCTATGGAATCTTTTTTGAGCTCAATTCTTTTCCATGGAGTGGGGAAAGAAGAAATGGCGTGCCATGCTTGGGAATCCACGTCAAAAATGTCTGTCTCACGGTTACTTCTGATTTTAAATATAAAATTTATTTTATAGTATAAATTATATTATAAAATAAGTTTTATATTTAAACCGAATTATTTTTTTTTGATAAAAATGTTTTATTCATGCATGTATACGGGGGTTTTGATTTTGGTCCCTGTCACGAATTAACTCGCTTTGTTTATTTTAAATTTCATTTTCGCCCCTTAATTAAAGTGAGAAAAAAAATTCCTTCTTCATCTTTTCAGCCTCATCGTTTTAGCCATCCAGGATAATAAATCTATTCATTACTAATGAACTTGTGATTTAATAATATGAAAGCTTTTATATGAACAAGTGATTATGTGTTCAATGAGGCTGTTTTTTTGTTTTTTTGTTTTTTGGTAACATCAATGAGGCTGTTTTAAATAAACATGATGCCGTTATTCGTGCAATGTATGACGTGGAACTCTTATCCGTAAATTAATATATTCCCCAAAAAAAAATTCTACATATTTGCTTCTTGCAGTGCCATCTCAATAGCATAAGAAATACTCCCTCCGTTCCTTATTATAAGAGACATTTGATGCATGGCATGTTCCTATATATAAGAGACACTTACAAGTTGTCTCTATTTTTTTGTGTTGATTTACTATTTTACCATATTTATTATCTCCAACTCACACTTTCTCTCCCTTCCACTTCTCTTTCTTTGAATAATTTAATTGTTCTCTCTTATACTCTCTCTCCTTATTAATGAGGGCATTTTTGGAAAAAATATACTTTTTACACATTAATTGTTCTTAACTAATTTTAACTGTTTTTTGATCAACGTATTTCGGTTATTTGTCTCTTATAATAAGGAACGGAGGGAGTAATAATTATATTCAAGCAAAAAAAAAACTATGTAATATTTTGTATTTAGAAATTTCATGCAAGCTCAAAGCCTTCGTTTATAAATGGTTCATTGGTTTGTAGCATTCCCAAATTTCAATTTAAAGAAAATTATTGATTAAATATTCAAAGATTTAGCTGAAGAATTTTTTTAGATAAACTACTAGGCGCTGATTTGCAGTGAAATTAAGCTAAAAAAAATAAAGTGCCTGACTGGCAACTCGTTTGAGGAGGAGAAAAGTAACTTATACAGGTGATAACTCAATTTGTAAATTTGAACATTGTTTGTTACAGTTTTTAGCCAATCTAATTTATAGGTGAAAAGTTATTTTTTTAAGTACGACCGTAAAAGCACATAAAATTTATTTATGACTTATGCAAAAATAACTTTTTAAAATTTAAAAGACATTTTTATGCTTCTCTTTATATTCCTTCTGCTTCCCGATTAATTTTTAGTTATTTATTTTTAATATTCTCTTAAGTGAAATTATTTTTTAACATTTTTAATGATGTTTTTAATTTTTAATTTTTAATCTTTAATATTATTTTTCATTTTATGTTTACATAAATTATCCAGAGTATATCATCCAATTAATTATTTAATATTATTTGTTTTAAAAAATTTTACATTGATTTCTAATTTAAATATATTTTATTCATTAAATATAACTTCTTCATATTATAATAATTTAAAATTATTATATTTATAAATTCATATTTTTATTATTTATTATTATTAATAAAAGTTATACTCATTTTGGTCATCCTACAAACTAAATTTAGTTATTCAATCATATTTCAAACAACTTTTTTACTTTATAAACTAACTTTTATAAAAGTTAATCCAAACATAAATTGCATTACTCAATCTAACTTTTATTCTCAATCTCATTTTTTAAAATTTGGATTGAGAAAAATTATTTTGTCTACCATTAATCCAAACAATCCTAAGTATATCTCAGCAATCCATATGAAGTAATTTTGTTAAAATTTAATTAAATGCCGTCCTGAAAATTTTTGAACATTTGAGAATTAAAAGAACTCTGCGCCACAGCAATAGAACCGTTTTTATAGGGACTGGATTATAAAAAAAATAAACTATAAATATTGATCTATTAATTGTTGTAACCAATGGGTATTAAAAGATTAAACGTTTCTTAAATTAAGTTAAAATAAAGCTGAACAGTTTCACCCATGCAAGTATACTACTAACCATTTTTCCAAATAATACGCACATAAAAAAACAAGTCGTCAAACTGGTTGAGGCACACAACATCTTTACGCTGTAATATAAAATTTAGTTTGTAGTGTAAAATACCCTACAAACTAAATCTCATTCAGAATCAGCGGTCAAAAGTGCAATGGATGGAACAGCTACAATTTCAGTTTCAGACTCACAAATGTTGTCCTCATCTCACTCTCGCCGCATTCTAAACCTAACGGGTTAATAATGCTGTTTAAGAGCAATATTACAGTACAAAGTAGTTTACAAAGGCTGCTATTCTAGCTCACCAATGAAAGAACCATAAATTTAAACAACACATAGGTAACGACAAAGCAACAAAAGCCCTTTGTGATGATCTCATCATGTTCATCAAAGTTACATTCAATGTGTAGTACGGAAAAGAAAAGAGAAACTGCCAAACCTTCAACCAAACAGCCACGTGCCTAGGGCTCGTCTCAGTGCCCCAGAGATAAAGGAACACACAATGGGCCACACGGTACCAAGTCCCCAAAACTTCAGTAATGAACCTTTGCCAAAAAATTTTGACTGGAGCACCGAAAGAAGTTATTGGCAGAAAACTATTCAATGTCAATATACTTTCTGATTTGGACGAAGTCCATCAGATCTTCTGTTCGAGCGTCACATCAAGTATTCCAATAGATATTTTAGGTTGGAAGTGTTCATCTGTATCCACTTCTTCAATTTCCTGGCAGAAGATTTGTTAGGTTGAATGTCAAGCGTCAATCATAAACATAAATCCCGTTGGCTATCATGTAAAATTATTGTGGGATTCAATAACACAACTTTTTATTCGTAGAAACACAGGCATGTAATTGACATTGCATTTAAACTGAACAAAAATATTTTTCTTCCAAACAAGTAGCAAATCTTAGTACACTGAACTAAATTTATCCAAACGTAGACTCAAAATGGCATACAGCAAGACATTTAGCCATGATCTATTACGTCCAAAACTGAACTTCAAACAAAAAGGGATTCATAAACATCAATGGGCGTCAAAACATAAAAGGTGGGTGAAAAGCTTTTCCAGAGTCAATCACATGAAAGGGGCAACAGACCCCCCAAAAAAAAAACCACAAAAAAAAAGACACTTCTGATGAAAACAGAGCAGACTCAGTCACCTGAACAACATCCTCTCCCTTGATGACTCGGCCAAATATAATAAGCTTCTCATTTAGATCTGGTATTGGTGCAGTTGTAATGAAAAGATCAAATTTTTTGTTCAAGTGTTTGCCCTTGGAAGTTCCAAGCATGAACGCTTCATGCTTCACGCTAGTAAACATCAAAGAATTTATTAATTAAAAAGGAAATATATTCAACACACAACAACGGTGGTCTTCAGATTGCAGAAGCATCAAAATATAAAACCAAAACAATAATAAAAACCTCGAATAATGTTTTCCTCTTAGGTTCCAATCTTCTGTCGCCCCAGTCCCTTGGTTCTCTCCAGCCTGAATCACATAGTGCTTAATTACATGGTGGAAAAGCATTCCCTTGAATTGCCCTTTTTGACTGCAAAAACAATGCAGTTTAGAACAAAGAACTAAACAAAAGGTAAGATAAATTCAAGAAACTCCATGAGAGAGACCAATTTTTTTGCAACTCAGTGGCCTCAGAAATTGTGCCTTCAGTTTATTCTGTAGGAAAAAAAAAGTAGGGAAAAGTGGGGATCAATCCCTTTGAGAAACTAATCGGCAAATGGTCCATAAGGACTTTGTGCGACTCAACTTTCCTTGTGTACAATCATCCTCCCTTGTGTGATATCTTTGCTTTGTGCAACTGAACTTTTCTTGTGTGCACACCATCTTTCCTACCTATAAGTGAGTCCCTTATGTCCAAATAATGTTTTGTACAAACAATTTTCTCTTTGTACAATTTAACTTCCCTTGTGTGCAACTTATCATCTGTTAAGCGATCTGTCATCCTAAAGACCATTTGCCAATTTATTGTACAATAAGGGATTTACCCCCAATTTTCCCAAAAAAGTACTTCTTGGAGACTATGTACAAAAAAACTGACAGAGCATAAATATTTCACAAACTAAAGTAATTTTTCTCAGATAATATTGACAACTTTGTAGATGAGGCGGCAACATTTGCAAAAATGTTAAGCAATTACTATCATGTTCCACAAAGCAAAATGCCAATATGTTTTGTATAAGTTGTCACATTGTCCAAGTTATGTGCATGTTCTCTTAAAGTTAGTTCACTGAAATGCCTGTCCACTTACATGGATTATACTTTATTTATACCAGACTTCTTCACTGCTCCATCAATTTGTTTCACTATATGATGGACTTATGAACTTAATAAAACTAAAGCCTCTAGCAAACATGTTTTCATTATCTTTTGCATATATCGTGCTATTATTTGCAAGGAAAATAACGTAGAGATTAGTGGAAACATGGCATGACATGCGACATCATCGCAATCTTCCTCAAGCTCAAGAGTTACCCAGACACCTAACGGAATACTGCTCAGACTTTGTGATGACAGTCAACATAATCCTCAATAAGCCCCTCATTATGTTCTGATTTGTAGTTTTTTTCCGTTCCATCTGTTGTTTCAACAGAACAATGTATATGCATATAGTGTGAGTTTTGCATTTACAATGCCAAATACTTTACCAAGCAAATATGGAAGGTATCAATCGCCTTTAGTGCTTAAAATCTATATAGAACCATCTTATTGAATTCCCCTGTTAGGAAGAAAAACAATGAAAACATTCACAAACATATTATAAAAAGGATAGCTGCATAGGGATAAGCCACGCTCACCATAAGTCAATAAATTCATCAACAACTTCAGGAGCACTTTCCTTGTAAAGTTCAATTACTATGGAGCCTTTAGAGGTATTTAAAACCTATTTCAGGAAACAAAGGATCAATTAGCTTAAAAATCAGTAAACACTGTTAAAAATTTTGCTAAAGAAAAGAAGTACTAACGGCAGGTGAATGAAACGTACAGCATATCCGGGCAGCTCAGACTTCTTTGAGTCTCCAAAAGAATTTTCAGCCTAAAGGGGTAAAAGAAAAAAGAAAGGAAATAAGAATATCGACAGATCTATGTAAAAGTCAAGAGTCTACAGAAAAAGTAGTGATTCAAAATGCAAAACCCATTGACCTCCTACCAAACCATGGTCAGCAAAACACAAAGTACGGACCACTTGGTTTCATTTTTATCCCTTTAAGATTCACTACTTCCAATTTAGGCCCGTAGTTCCCCAAACATCAATATTTTCCTCCCCACACATTCTGTAAAACACACCAACAAAGAATGTGACATGATATTATATATGTTGAAAAGATTGACCCCATGTAATTTGTAATTCATACATGATAAACGTCCTCAGATGCCAAAGTCAACCTGGATCTAAAATTCATAGTGCTTCAGTGCCCAGAGATGCTGCGTTTTAAACTCCCATACATTCCTTAAAAATGAAGATTGGCTCTCAATCCTTGTCAATGATCAGTGATTAAAAGAAGCTAACGATCTTCTATTGTGATGAATTGGTAAAGAAACACTCAAATCAAGATTCTTCTATCTTGGCCACCTCACTGTAATAGCAAAATCTTAACCTCGTTCTACCACCATTAATTTAACAACATTGAAAGTCAATGACCATGTTTGAGCAATCTATGAGAATTTAAATGCAGCAGCTCTAGTACCCTAAACTCTACAAAACTTTACTATAATTTAGGGGAAATGTAAGTGCATGTTAGTTGAAATTGGCCATATTTTAAGCAGTTTGCCAGAAATGAGTTATGAAAGGTCAGTTCTTTGACCCATAGAATGCCATCTCAGATAAGCCATCTAGGTTTTTATCAGAGTGAGGGGAGAGGTGAGGTAAAAACTGATCAATTTTCGAGAGTTAAGGGATGAAATTGGAACCAATAAATCATGAGGGGCAAAAATGAAGCCTGCTTCAAAATGAAGGGATGAAAAGTAGACTTTGACCACCCACTTAAATTTGCCCTTAGGTTTCTAATTAAGTGAGGGAAGAAGAAAAACATTGAAGAACTTTGGGGAGTTAAAGAACAAAATTGACACCCAAGCTTTAAGAAAAACGAGAAAACAAAAACATCATGTTGGCCAAAAGAAAAGGATGAAGGATAATATATAACAAGTAGATACAAGAGGACCAAAGAATGATGAAACCAAGCAAAAAGAACTTCAAATTGTACCTGAGAGGTTGTAATGTGGTTCTCTGATGCAAATCTTGACCTGAGCAATTAAATTGTTAGGAAAAAGGAGATGTTCTTCTAAATTTATAAATTTATAAAAGAAAATAGACACGCTTCTCAGCCTTTTCAAGGTGTTGAAGGCACATTAGTCACATAGCCATGACAACGTAATGAAATGTCTCAAACTAACTAACATACAAATCGGCAAAAAATGTTATTCATAAGTTGCTGGTTAGAAAAAGAAAGAAAGAAAGAGACTGGAAATCATATCTCAGTGAAATTAGAAGATTGCCTCCATAATGTTTTGGCTTTATACAAATACTTTAGTGATTTGAATAACACCCTTCCTATTAAGAAAATGTTTTAAGAAATAATAGTGCACGGTCCTTATAATAACGCAACCTCCTTTTTCTTCAAAGAACTCCCGAATGGGAAGCTTAAAACTAGGATTTTAGTATTAAACATGAGCCAAAATGTTCTAAACTACAACCGTACAACTCCCTGTCCTTGTTAAATTATTTTCAATTTTATAAACATAATTTAGATTTATGGTGGGCTATAAACAAATATTAAAAATTAAAATTATTATTTAAATTTTAACTTCAAATGGGATCCTAATGTACTCATTATTGTGCAAAGGCTAATATCTTTCACATTTAGTGCCGGTCAAAAGCTTCTCTCTTTAGTTCAAGTTTGGTTTCAATTTGTAATTATAGCATCTTTTAAAGAGTGAGATTTTTTTTGTTCCTAATATAACATGTGGAGTGTGCAACCAACGACCTCATAAAGGCGTCTGTGGTACATTCATATGTGTATTCTACTAATGCTTTACAGGTCATCATGCACTATGGTAAACTTCCCACACTCACAATTTATCGATTCCTGTTCCTACTACTCTAACTTTCTCAAGAATCACGATCAACTTACAAATTCTTTACTTTTGAAGAAAAGGCATTTTAAAGGAACAAATTTCCTTCTGCCCTGCGTGTAGCATTACAATGAAACTAAAGGATGGATCACCGCAAATTTGAGTGGCACAATAAGCACAGAGTGCAATTTTTGGGCATTTCTTTGTCTGCTAGCATCCCAAACAATGTTCACACGCATTCAAAACAACTCCAGTCATTTTTAACACAAGCTAGAGCTCAAAGTCACCAACTCTAAATTTTTATCATATCCTGTGTTATAACTGTCTACAGTGTTAAACGTATGTAACACATCATTGCCTGCATTCTGAATTGGCTCTCATCAGAAAACCACACCAAATCATTTACTAACCTGTGGGACCAATGTCTGTACGCACTGAACAGGAAAAACACAACCAAGACAGGAATCAAGCTGTAAAATATAATAGTAGTGGCACTTATTCGAGAAGGCCCCTTTTTCCTCTTGCTTTGCTGTAGTAGAGCTTGAGGTTTGATCCTCGCCATTTATCCTAATCATCAGTTTAAGATACCATCAATTCCCAGTCAATGGAAGAGAGCAGGGGACAAAACTAGCAGCTAAAAAATTATAATTAAAAAATGACGAATAATGATTAAAAAATTTTATTCAATATACATAAAGTTCAACTTATTGTTATATATGCATATATGAGGAAAGGGGAAAAAATGGCAAACAGTAAACAAATCAAGCACGATAACTCAGTTTTCAAATTTCAACACGGTCCAATTAACTGTGAGTAATGAATTCTGGACTCTGTCAAACCTCGATCACCAGATTCAGCATCAAGGAAGCCATCTAATCGAGCAGGCATTGAGATCCAATAAATATGAAGAGACAGTAGTATTCATCATGATTTGGCACAACAGAAGAAATGAATTGCGCGAAAAGAACTGGAGAAAAGAAATGAAAAGCCGCCAAGAAGCATTAAATTAAATCCCTAGCTAAAGTTTGGAAAGATAAAAACAAAACCAGCACAAAAACAAGCTAGGTGAAGAAAGAAAAGGACCTGAAGAGTGAAGGAGTCAGAACTATTACGGTCAGCAGCGTGGATCTCAGAAACAAAAACAGCCAGTGAACGAACCGAAGATGGTGCTTGTGTTGATGTGCAGCACAAATTGATGGATCAGCGAAGCACAGAACAGTTACAAAAGGAGGTTCCGTTCCGTCGAGTAGACGAGAGAAAGCTCTCCGACCGAAATTCGGACCAGCTCCGCAGCTGGCGAAATGAATGAGAAGCGAGATTTGCTGCGTCATCTTCCTACTGTAGCAATAATAATAATAATAATAATTTGGGATCAGGATGGTACAAAATTCTTTCAAATTATCTCAAAATACATGAAACGGTATTAGTGTTTTAATTTTTCTGAGGTTAGCATCACAGCCAAGGAAATTGAAAAAAAAAAAAGCCTAAAAAGTTATTTTTTAAGGAACAGTTTTTTCGCCAATTTTTGAAAAACAGTTATAATTAAACGTCATGAACGAGATACATGGATCAATGATAAATATGTATGATATGTAATTCTTTAAAAACATGTTTATAATAACTGTTTGTCGTGGCGAGTGCTGGCGACATTGTAGTTAATATCTAACTCAATGAACATAAACTATTTCAACAAATGCATAAAATAATTAGTTATTTCGTATTAAAAAAATTTTGTTGTTGCTTGCAAAGAGATTTGAAAAGAAAAATATAATACAGGGCTTAAGGATGTAAAATAAAATAAAAAAGGTGTTTGGATGGAAAACAAACTATAATTTTAAAAATGATTTTACAATATATGAAATAAATATGTAGAAAAGTTTATCTCGATTTGTGAAAAAATACTTCTAGAAAGCACTTTTGCCAATAACCAAACACCCCTAAAAACGAGTGCAAGTCTATTTAGGTAAGGATGTACTACTAATTCTGTTCTTTAATATAAAAACTAGTTTGATTTTTAGTTTAATTCTAAATATAAGACACTAATTTACTTTGTCTCTCATATTTATCTATATTTCTCAAAGTAGTCTTTGTAATAGCTGAATGTATTAAAAGTTTCATCAAGTAGTAGTTCTAGCTAATAGACTTGATTAGTAAGGGTATATTAGGGAAAACAATATATATTTATTAGAAATAACTAACAATATATATTTATTAGAAATAACTAACTTAACTAATTTTTTTAATCTATTTAAATTAGTTAACTAGCTTTTATATTATATTAAGGAGGAGAGAAAGTATAATTTTCTCTCCGGCTCTAGTTGAAAGAATATGTAACTCTTTTTTTGGGAAAAAATAGGAAAGAAAATAATATTTTTATTTTAAAAAAAAGAAAGAAAGCAAAAGATATTTAACTGTGTTTAACTATAATTTACATCTTCATTATTCCTTTCACAAAAGTTTTGAACCCACGTCCTTACATTTTAAAAACAAAATAATATAAGCGTTCGGTGTTATTGATTACAAAGCCTGAAATTATAAAAAATGGCTATCTTAAATTTGATTGAAAACCAGAGCTTTGTGTAAACTTTATTGCCTAAATTTTTCACTGAGGGGGGCTCTCTTACATAGCTTTTGAAAATAAAATTAAGAAAATAGAACCCTGAAATCCACTTAGCTGTTTCAGAGGGTGATTAGATAGAAATCAAACCATGATTTTAGAAGTGTTTTTATGATTTACGAAGTAGATATGTAAAGGAGTTTGTTTTGTTTTACAGAAAAATACATTTAAGAAGTGTTTTTAGCAGTAGCCAAACACTCCCTTAGTTGGATGGTAGTTGCAAACAGTTGGATGGTAGTATTATTCAGACTTTGATTTCATTTGCTTCTGTCACGGGGGTTTGAATAGGCATTACGTCTCTATCATCCAACTAATCCACCACGACATCAAATTAACAGAGTGACTTCCTTAACCTTAACTGTAAACGGTGTCGTCACGTTTGGAAATAATTCGTATATGCAAGCGCCCGTTTGGATTGGTGATAAATAACCACGATCAGCATGATTTTTATACGTGACATTGATTAGAAGTTATAATAATATAAACTGAATCTCATTACTAGTAACAAACAACAAGTACAAAGTTACTCCTAATTGTGATTTCTATTTGGATTCTTTTTCTTATAGGGCTGGTTGATTAGTTTGAATATATTAAGAAAATCTATTAATTTAGTTATTTGTAATAAATAAATGTTATCTTTTCTAAAATATCTATGTTAATCAAATATATTAGTTTTAATATTTGATAAAATATTTAACATATGCAGTTACTATAAAAACTGTTTTAAAAAATAAAAAAATAAGAAATAAAATAAATTTAAATCTTATACTACCTCCGGTCATTAATATAAGACTTTATTTGATTTTTATTTTGATCTTAAATATAAGATCTCAATCCACTTTCTCTCTTGTATTTATGCATTTTTTCCCAATGTAGTCCTTCTAACAATGATAGTTCTAGTCAATACACTTGATTAACAAGGATATTTTATGAAAGAAAACATTTGTTTATTATAAATAACTAATTTAATTTATTTTTTTAATCTCTTTAAATTAGTCAACTAACTCTTATAATTATGATCGGAGTTAATATTTATAACTAAATTAAAAGGAACATTTTTATTAGAATAGTATTGGCGACTCGTGCTCTTTTTCCTGCCAGCAGGGAAACGGTCATTCCACATTCACACCCCAGGCAATCCATTATTCCAGTGCCAAAACCGCCGAATTTCAAAGCACTCCCCTTTCTAGAAGCCAATGAGGTCCATTCCCCGCTGCACGCGATGAGACTCAGCCCCAGATAAATCTGACATTTGGTTTCACAACAAAAGACAGCATAAGATGTCATGGTGCAAGAAAATTAATCTTTTCATCGTGATAGTTTTTACTCATTTATAACTCAGTTTTTATATTTTGACTCAGTGTAATTTATTTCTTATAGTTTTAAATCAGTTGTAGCTCAATTTTCTAAGTTTGACCACAGCAACTGGATCTCTATATTTTTAACTATTTTATAACTTAAACCCTCTTTTTATTAAATATGTGATTTCATTTTTCAAAAACACAAGGACTAAATTATAAAACAGATAAAATTGTAGGGATCGAGTTATAGCGAGTCAAAATTCAAGTACTAAGTTACAACTGAGTCAAAATTATAAAGACTGAATTGTACCGAATCAAAATATAGGGACTGAATGACAAACGTGTCAAAACTATAAGGATTAAAAGATTAATTTTCCTACTTTTTTTTATTTAAGAAGAAGGATAGATACTAATGATCAGCGTTCACAAATAAAAAATATATCCAACACTAACAAGGTATTGGTTGAGGTGTTAAATAGTTTTATCTCTGTAAGAAAGAAAATACAAGTCCAAATTCTAAAAAGCGTATTTATTGAAAGAGATAAAAACTTTTTTCCCTCCAAATCTTTAAAAAGAAAACCTTTGATGAAATCAGAAAAGAAAATATGTCAGACTTATAACTTCCCACTTACTAAAAGATTTTATCCCGCTAGATCAACAGACTATTTACAGAAATAAGAGAGTATCGTCCCATCTAGAGTCAATTTTGATGCCTGCTGACAAAGATTCTTCAAATGGTGGAGTAGTCTAGTATTTTCGGCTCCTCACAAGGAAAAAAGCAAAAGACAGGTGGGAAAGAATACTGGACTGTTATGATTAAGGGGTGAGCAAAAGACCATTTGCTTTGGTCTAAAAACTAAGGAGCCGTTTGGTTCAATTCTTATGTGCCTAAAGGTGGTAATGCAATGGAATATAGGTTACGTTTGGTAGAAAGCATTGAAAATGAGGGATTGGGATTGGGATTACAATTGAAAAAATCTATTAAGAGAGTGTTTAGTATAAGAGATTGTTTGATATATGGGATTAGTCAAAGCCATGTATGTGGGATTAGAGAATACCATGGGGGGAAGTGGTATTCCCCAATCCCACCTTTATGGGCATACCTAATCCCATATAACAAACAATTATTCATACTAAGTACTATTTTAATGATTTTTTCAATTGCAATTCCAATCCCAATCCCTCATTTTCAATGCTTCGTACCAAACGGGACCATAATGTAATGTTTATTACCATCCATATGTTTGGTATGTTACTAAGAAGATTGAGCAAAAAAATTACCTTTTATATTTAATCAAATAAAGTTAAGAATAACTCCTTTACCGGATCCTTTCTTCCTAGATTCATTATCTTCTTTCCCAACAAAAATCTGAAGCACGAGTATGGATTCACAACCTTCTTCCTCGAGCAAACCAAAAAAAAAAATTGTCTGAGGCAGTTCATAGTGGTCACAACCATTTCCATGGCTATCTCCGATTAGAGGCAGTTCATGGTCATCAAACTCTTTTGACTTTATGACAATAGATACTCCAATCAATATTACTTGGCACTCCATATTGGGACCTCATCTCTTTCCCTTTCTGCTGGGAAAAAAAAAACAATATCACAGAGCTATTCTTTTTTCAGATCTGAACAATACAATTGGAATATTACAATTTTTTGGGTAGTGAACATGGGACTGAAACGATGGTTATTGTGGGTGTTGGGTGTGGTGGTGCTCACGGTGGTAAGTTCATCAACGGCGAGAAGAGGTGGATGATAAAGAAAAGGTGGAAGAAGGTAACAAAGATTGGAGGGCAAAAGAGACTTTTTGAAATATGCAATGAGATGGTATTAATGATTCATAAGGGGGAAGGTATGAATGAAGATTACCAGATTTTTGATAATCATTATTACTATGGTAAAGATTATTACCATATTAAAGAGTAACCAAACACTCATATCTTGGTAATGTAATTATAGTTACTGTTGCAGGCCTGTAATGGGATTGAACCAAACAGGCTCTAAATGCACCTTGTTAGTTAAAACTTAAAAAAGAAAAAATAATTAAATAAACAGAATCATCGAACAAAGCCACGTGGTGAACAGTGCGGGGAAAAAGAAATAACAAATCTGTTTACATGGGTTGAATTGAACTGAATACCTTGGGATAGTCTGATATAATGGTCTGCGCCAACTGGGCCTCTCTGTTTTTCTGATCCCATGACTCGTTTCGATGTCCCTGCCTAGAAGGAGGGAAAATCACGTAGGACGGAAATCTTTTAGTAAATGCTAAATAATGTTACTCCTCCGGTCCTTATTATAAGACCTAATTTGAC